CATGTTTGTGTTTCCCTATATTTGATTAGCTTTGATTATTTATTTTTAATATTCTAATATGTAAAAAGTAATTTTGTAAAGCAATCTGAACAACATATTAGAGTATTAAAAATAAATAATCAAAGCTAATCAAATATAGGGAAACACAAACATGTTATCTTACTTGATTTAATATAATTGCTAATTAGATTAACACTAAGAACCTTTTGATTAATTTACATGATGTAAAAAATAACAAATCTTAATAATTCTTAATAAATTCTACTAACCACACTTTCTATATATATTTATTTAGTACAAAATAGACTTAGAATCTTTATGATTGTATAAAACATAATATTATCTACTAACTACATTATATATATTTATTTAATCATTGATTCTGAAAAATTTTGCAATGATGTAAGAAATTGCTGTATAGATACCAAGTTTCACTTATATATATATAAGAGACGTATTTTTAACCTGACTTTTTTTACTTACTCTGCTTAGAAACTTATAATTATTACTCATTAAGATGTCTAACCCGTCTGTTAAAAAACTCGTATAGCAGTTAGTGATAGCTTAAAAAGTGATATTTGTAAATATTATAAAGAAAATCAAATAAAACTTAAATACAAATCGCTGAGTACTTTAATACTCAAGGTTCAAACTGAAATCTTGACCATTTAACCATCTTTAAAATTCTCAAAGAAAAAGATTAATAGCTGGCTATTGTTAAAATAAAACAGCTTTTGATACTTTTTGTTATAAAAAAGTAAAATTTTTCTTACTAGAACAAGCTATAACATTATGGGTTGAGCAAGTTGTTAGCAATGGGTTATTCTTAACTAAAGCGCTTATTAAAAAAAAGGCCATCTATTTTGTTAAAGCACTTTCATTGCCTAATAATGAATTAAAATTTTCTAATAGATAGATATGACAATTTAAAAAACAGAATAGTCTGCAAAATTTCAAATTGTATGGAGAAGCTAGCAGCATAGCAACCAGCAATCTTTCAGAATTCTGACAAAATTTACAAAATATTATTCAAAGATATACATTAAATGATGTATTTGATACAGATAAAACTGGGCAGTTTTTTCGCTTGGCGCCAAATCAAACATTAGCATCTCAATCTCGTTCAGGATATAAAAAGGTAAATTTTAATTATTATTATAGTAAAAATCTCTATAAATACATACTTTTAGAACAAAACTTTAGCAAGAAGCATTTAGAGCATTTATAGAGATTATATATATATATATAGACCAAGTTTGTGTATATATTTATCCTGTAAGAAAAATGGTACATATGATGTCCTGTGCTATTATGGGTTTACATATGAATTTTGAATCGCAAATAGACCAGGTTTTGCAGCAGTTTACTAAGCCAAAATACATGTATTTTGGCATGTTCACTAAAATAACAAAAACACATAGAATAATGCACCGTGATTGAAACATGAGATATGGAATAGTTTTTTTTTACCATGCTATTTTGGTATATTTACTCATAAATTTCAAACAGTAAATAGACCAGATTTTGCAACAGTTTACTAAACCAAAATTCACAGATTTTGGTATAGCTTTTTGACATGTTTTTCTATGAAATTGCAGTGAAGAAACGGTTTGTAGACCGTGATTTGCATATTAAATTTTTTGCAAAGATACGTAATGGTTGTTTTTTTCAAGCCATTTGGACTGTACTATATGCCACTTTTCTTACAGAGTTAGTGAATATGTGCGCACTTATATGTAGTAAATGTATTACTATATTTTAATAAATAAATAATTTGGATCTGATTATTGTAAATTTGAATTAAAAATTTAGACTACTATGAGACAATTAAGCATCTATCTTTACTATTAATATTTTATATTATTATTTAACTAAATTCTTTTAATAAATTTAGAATCATATTCACATTACTGTTCTTCTAGCATGTAATGCCACTAGTACTGAGAAATTAAATCCTATTGTAATAAGATCTTTAATCAAACCACGAGTATTATCTGATATTAATTATGCTAATTTACCTGTAATATACTATTCGAATTTAAAAACATGGATGCGAAGTGATATATTTACAGAGTGGTTAAAAATCTTGATAATCAATTCTGACTTCAAAATTGGAAAATTTTACTTTTACTTGACAATGTGACAAGTCATTTCAATCCAAACTCAAATTCATCTGATGAAGAGCCTGATTGTAATTCTGAAGAATTGCATTCTACTAGATTAAATAGCTATAGTTGTGATCACAATCATGGTTGCAGTTGTGGTCACAGTCGTGGTCACCCCAAATTAAGCAATACTACTTCAAATAACCAACAAAATTATACTATCCAACAAAGTAAGAGCAAGTGTGGTAGAAGCTGAGCAAGTATTTATATACTTTCTGATTTATCTAATTATTAACCTACAAATATTTATATTAAATTCTTGCCTGCACTTAACATCTCCCATCTTCAACCTATAGATGTGAGAATTATTAAGTTCTTCAAAGCAAAATATTAAAAAAAATATATTCACCATATTCTAGATCAATTTAAGAGAGGAGTAGATATTCGAGACCCTGAGTAAGTATGCTGTATATATTTAAAAGAAAAGGTGTTTATTTATAGAGGTTTTACTGTAAGTAAAACCTCTATAAGTGTATACTTTTAAAATCAAGCTTTAACAATACATACTAAAGAATAACAAGAAAAGTGCATTTATACTTATATATATATAGGCCTGTATTGGTATTGTATTTAGAGAGGGTATGCACTTGTAGTGAGTGCATCTATAGAAATTTTATAGTAATTTACAATAATAAATTAAAATTTGTTATTTTTTTTGTTAGAAATAAATTAAATATTAAAGAAGCCATTGACTATGTAACAATTTCGTGGGATGAAGTAAATGAATTAACAATAGTAAATTGTTGGAAAAAGACAGATATTTTGCCAATAGTGCCATATGTTGATATTGAACTTGTGCAAGATATATATTTAGAAACAATCGAATATGTAGAAAATAAAATAATTTATCTAACCGAAAATGCAGACCCAACAGTTTCACAAGAAATAGATTTTTATTAAGAAATTAATAATACTCATATTACCACAGAAGAAATACTTGATGATATTCAAATTGTCAAAACAGTATTAGCAGAATAGTTAGAACATGAACAAGGTGATCCAGAAGATTTTGATAAGGAACTACCAAAAATTCCTGCTTCTGAAGAGTTAAACAAGTTGAACACTTTTATTTCATTTGCAAAACAAATAAATAATAATTCTTTCTTTAATAACAATGATATAAAAACATTTTGAAATTATTTACAATTAATGAAGCAAAAAGCTACTGAATTTATAAAACAAAAATTCATTGTAGATTTTTTTAATCAGGAAAATCAAGCTATTGATGATGAATATCTTGATGATTTTTCTAGTAGCGATAATAATAATAATTTTTTTAATAGTGGTAATGATGATTTTTCTGGTAATAGTAATGATGAGAACTTTAATAATAGTTATTCTAGTAACAATGATTTTCCTGATTATGATGCTTTTCCTGATAACTATAGCAGTTCTACTGATAAATATAGAAACTATATCATATGACTATAAAATATTTAAAACAGAGAATTGATATTGTAAATATTTAGATTTTACAGAGGGTCGAATTACTTACAATAGTTTTGATTAAAATATGTAATTAACTTTTAAGGTTAAATAATGACTATAAATTGTATATATGTATTAAATAACTTGCGTACGGTAACAATAATTTGTACAATTCATAATGATGCAACAAATAAAGTATTTTGTAATAATTATCTTGAAAACTATATTGTGACTAAGTTATATACTTATTCTAGAAAATTATTATTATTATGATTAGGCTAAGTTTTTAGTAGAAAGTATATTTAGACTTTAATTAAAGAATAAAGGAATTATTACTTTATTATGACTTTAGTTCATTGGAGTTCACCAGGGTGGCCCCCAAAAGTATGGGTCAGATAATAAGATGCTACAACCACTGCATAATTTTTTAAAAAATGTTTAAATCATCTAGCCTTCATAGTTAGCTTTATTATTGTAAAAATTTCATAACCCAATTTATGCAACAAAGCAATATACTACTAGTTATTGAGAAATGGTTGTACAATGATTCAACTCATATGGCCCGCACTTTTGGGAGCCACCCTGGCAAACTCAGTTAATTGCAAGTATAAGATATGTATGAAAATACTAGTCTTAAGTTCTTGGTAAGGATTACAATACATAAAAATATCACTGATAAAGTATGGTTATTAAACAGTATTCTATAGAGCAAATAAGATGAAATGCTTTTATATTAAAATTTAGAAAGGAATGTAACAAAATCAAATCAAACAAAGTTAAAAAAAATACATTTTTTTAAATAATACTACTCATTATATATTTATTTCTGATCTCAAAGCTTAGCTTGTGTTCTTTATATTCTTAGTTTGTATAGCATATTAAAATCATATATTTACGTTGAGAAAGTGATAACTAATCGAACAGCTATAAATAATACTATAATTCTAACAATATCCAATCTCTATACTAAAACGATAAAAATATAAGACCAAAACTCCAAAATGAAAGGTGTTAATTGAGGTATAGAAGACTTGAACTAAGTTTTCAAAGCTTTGGGTCTTGTAAAGTCAATACCAGAGCTTAGATAAGTCTTCTTTATTGACTAGCAGAATACTTCAATCTATTAATTGACTAATTCAACACTATTTTTTCTTTTTAGTTTTAGTACAAATGTACTAGTTTCAGAGACATGATAATTGTAGCAAGGTTACAATATTATTTTTGATCGTTAGGATTTTTAATGATGTCACTATGATTGTTTGATAAATATAGTAATTAATAGTTTAATCAGTCAATAGTTTATAAAAATTCAATTTTGATATCAATTACTAACACTAATTCTTTTTTACTTCAATTAACAAAACTGGGTCTCACTAATGATCATATGGATATAATAGTTTAGCAAAAGCCAAGTATGACAAATGTTAAAGAGACAAAAGTAATGTAATAATTTAGATTTTATGAATACAAGATAAATTTGATTACAATTTATTACAAACAACTTTGTGACAAAGGAAATAATTATTTTTAAAAAACTTATTATATGTCCATATATTTTTTATTTATTATTTGTTTTAAATATGATTATATAAAAGGAAAATATATATGTATATATATTTTATTTACAGTATATGATGTGATAGTGATTATAAGCTAATTGTAACTATATAAAGGTATTTTTATATAAAAACGACTGGAGTTAAAAATTTGTATGATTGTATAAAAATTGTGATTATAGAGGAGGTGATTATAGAGAAAGAAGACTGTATATCTAATTTGATAGCAATCGATATATATTCAATTTGATAGAAATTGGCAGGGTGATTAGTATTAATATATATCTACCCTAGTTAGTAACTGATAAAATTTGATAATGATTGATATATATTCAATTCGATATTAATCGATATATATTGATAGTAACCAATAATTATTTAATGAGATCACAATCAATATATATTCAATTCAATAGTATATATTTAAAAACTTATTCAATAGCAATATTATTAAAAGCAATTATAAATGATATTTATTATATATGCAATACAAAGCAATACAAGTAGAATTATATATTAAAATATTAACTATTTTAAACTAATATATAAAAAAAAAACAGAAAACTATTTGCATAACTGTATTATTAATTGGCCCCAAATAATTTATCTTGTTCTTTTTGTAAAAACATGTCTAAAGATTTTTTGAAAAAAGATTTATGTTCAGCTAAAGTTGGTCTCAAACATTCACTATTGTTAAAATATACCAGTTTACCATTATGAAAGCATGCTGCAAGTTTACTATTTATAATCGATTTCACAAAATTATAACTAAAGTTACCTTGTTCAAAATTATTCTATTTGAATACAATAATAAAAAATAAATATTAATATCATGTCTGTTATAAATAGAAAAATTGCTAATACTTACCAAATATTGCTTAATGCAATGTACAATCTGATTATCTTTATACAAAATACTTCTTGACTATAGATTTAGTAGAATATCACATACTGCTAGAGTAAAGACATAGTGATAGTTGGTCAAGTCTAGGATAGCAGTTATGCTAAAGGCAGTTCATATGATGATATTAACCTAAAAAAACCTTCATTATTCTCTTCAAAAAGAGTACAATAGCAGTTACTAACTTGTGAACTTTGCTTTCATTTTACTATTTTACCAAGAGCTGCATTACTTTTAAGTAAAGGAGCTTTTCCTAACTGAAGACCTTCCAAATAGATAAGTGAATATTTTGTAATACTAAACCACAATAATTTTTCATTTTTGTAAAAGCTATTAAAAAAAGATTTGATATATCAGTATAAAATATATATATTTTTTTTTGCTTCACTTAGGCTGATTGTGCCAGTACCTTTATTTAATCAAGCGCCACTTGTGGAAGTGCATAATCATTAAAACTATAGATCTGAAATCCTGCGGTTACTTCAAATAACCTAACCGATTATCTACACGTCCTACAGGCGACCTGCCGCACCAGAGAGATACGATCAATTAAGATAATACCCTACTAGGAGCTCGTCTGACCACCACTCTACAATAGAATGTTACCAATCTGATAACATCTTCTCATAGAGAAGTGAAAGAAAAAGAAAAAAAAAACATATAAATGAAA